TGCGTGGGAACACTGCATGATGTTTTATGTCGTGCCCTTATTTCGGACAGATGCAGAGCCTGCAATTACATCCGTTGCAAGATATCCAGTTCAGATTTATCATTAACCGGTTTAACAGTTTCATCGTTGTTTCCGTCATTTATTGTAAATAATATAATTTCTTTTCGTTTCCCATTATTCTCAATGGTGAGCGAAAGGGGGGGGGGGTCAGAAAATCAATCAACTGCAGCCCTGCGTTTATCTATAATCGAGCAAAGTTTAGTAATTTATTCGAATCTAACACAGCGTGGAGAATATGCTGCAATCTGGAAATGGGCAATCGTTTTTAAAATATGTACAGTTTAGCTGTGATCATGACACATGATTTTGAATAAATGAGCAACTCGAGTAGTTGTGATCAATGATCCAAGTCGCTGCTTCGCCTCCTCGATGTCTTGTTTCTGAATTTCTGCCACTTCTGAAGAAATCGTATTTTTCGAAGGTGACAAAGGCATCAGTGTCACCATATGCGGCCATGTCTCTTGAAGAACAACAGTGCACGAAGGGATATTCTCACTTTTTGTTCTCCGTGATTAACTTAAGCTCGTTGATCTTGTTTACGGATAACCAAGCGTTTGTTGACACAAAAGTCGTTGAATCATTGAGCAATGTTCTGGCAACCAATCGATGCTCGCGGTTGGGCTAATAGCAGTTAAACATGCCAAACTTTGTTACACCGAAGGATAAGGTATGACATGGATTGGTGGAAGTTCAGCGTCAGAGAAGTGTGGCAAAATTGGTGTGTAATTAATGAATAAACAAGCAGTACCGGTTGGATCATTACAGTTTGGAAACCCGGGTCATAAAGTGTTACCTGAGCGGTCGCTGCGGTTATGTTTAGTTGCTATTATTTTTTTGGGAAATTCCGCCACGAAGGTTTTCAGCACTTATTTAATTCAATATCACTACACCGTAATATTCCACTTGTGGTTACGCCACTGATTTTTATTAATTGGAAAAGACTTCACTTATTACCGCGGCAGATATTTAAAAAGCATGCCGTGTTCATGCATATTAATCATTTTATATTTTTTTAATTATTTCTGTAGCGGGCATTTAACATTGTTCCACATTTCTGCCGTGTCGGACCTTAAACACATGCAGTATTATCATTTGAATAAAATTTTATGTTACACATAGGAGGAAAAAATTCGTTATGACACAAAATTCGATATCAAAATTCATTTCCAATCGACGTTTCAATAATAGACTGTCGAATAAGGAT